TGTCTAATATTTCCAGATATTGCTTCTTTTCTCTTTGTTCTTTCCGGTTATATGTAATCTTTGTTAACAATACCAAAGTTTTGATCATTGTGAGTCGAAGCCGTAGTTCGCAGAACAACAAAATGTACTCAAGAATTTTTTGAGAAATAATTAAAATCCTGTACATATATATTAGAAAAACTATCAAACATATGAAGAAAACGAAGGGAATTCTGGTATTTATCTGATTTTATGAATGATCAGCATAAGACTATCAAACATATGAAGAAAACGAAGGGAATTATGGTATTTATCTGATTTTATGAATGATCAGCATAAGAAATTTGCTTTATCAGCTCTCCCAAAGCAATGCAGTATCCGCATCTTGTTTAAGGATCAGAACTTTCATGGCTGAAACTCAACCCTCTTTATTTTTCCTTTCCCCTCATTATCATTCTGACAAGTTTCGGAAAATTTTTTTCAGGCAAGATTGGATGTGATTTTTTATTTATCTATAAGACTAACGGGACTCAATGTGGCAAAACACATGATCCTTGGCAAAATGTTTGGTGGTGCTTACAAGTCTCAGCTTATTGGAGGTCAGAAGGAGAAATTTGTTAGGTACTAATCAATATGCGGTATATAACTTTATCTGTTGTTGTTTTTCATTTGAATTTATGGTTATGAAAATGGTCTAGTAAGGATGTAGTTTTAGGCTTATAATTGTTATAATCTTCGTCTCTAAACTAATGCCTGATTGTTTCCTGTGCCTTTAACTCTAGGTTGGATGATTTAGACTCTCCAATATCAATGGCGTCTGGAACAGGAGGAATGAAGATGTGCGGACTTAATGTAGATGGCTACAAATACAGAGAACATGGAAAGAAGACATCAAAAAAATCATTAAACATAGGGATGATGAAAGGTTCAGGAGGGTTACTAACACTCGGTCGCAACCTCAAATCTGAGGTCACGCGAGTAGTGTTCCCGGAAGATCTCAAAGTGTCCGATAAGATGATATTTGATCCCCAAGATAAATCTATTTTGTTATGGAATAGGTTCTTCGTTGTGTCTTGCATTCTTTCAGTATCTATTGATCCACTGTTTTTCTATCTTCCCGTATTCAATGGTCGAGCACATTGCCTTGGAATTGATGTAAATTTGGGAGTCACAACCACAACCGTTCGGACAATTATCGATGCTCTCTACCTCATTCGTATGGGTCTGCAGTTCCGTACAGCATATATTGCACCGTCATCTAGGGTTTTTGGACGAGGTGAACTAGTGATAGATCCTGCACAGATAGCCTCACGATATTTAAGTCGTTACTTCATCGTTGATTTTCTTTCTGTGCTCCCCCTGCCGCAGGTTTGAGAAACTACTTGCTGAAAAAATCCCTAAGACTTGTGCTAAAGTTTAATCATTGAGTCTCATGTTCGTGGTAGTTTGCGGTTGATATGTTTATCTGTTTTGCAGACTTGGATTCCTATATATAAGAATGCGGTACTTTATTGTACAACATAAATAAAAATAATATAAGAAGTATATAACTCAAAGAAACTGTCTCCGAGTCTTTCACAAAAAAAGAAAATCCCATTTTTTATGTTGCTGATCTGAGCACACTTTCCTGCAACGGCTTTTTTGCGTTTACTAGAAAGACCTTACTGCATTTTATCAGGGGTCCTGATTTATTCTTATATCAATTGAAAAGAAAAAGAAGCAATTTTACATGAAAACTTGAGGCTAACATTGTAAGAGATGTTATGGTAGCACAACATGCATCATGCAGCTGTCTGTTCTGAATTGCATAGGAGGAGAAATGGTTCTTTCTCTTAATTGCTTCCTTATCTGCAGTTGGTGGTGTGGAAATATCTTCACAAAACAAAAGGTTCAGAGGTATGGGCGACGAAACAGGCATTGCTAGTTATTGTATTTGTTCAGTATATTCCTAGGTTTCTTCGCTTTGTACCATTAACTTCAGAACTGAAGAAAACAGCCGGTACTTTCGCCGATAGCGCTTGGGTTGGTGCTGCATATTATCTGCTATGGTACATGCTTGCCAGTCATGTAGGTTATCAGTTTTCAATTACATGAGCGTTTTAATTTTTGCAATTTTGAAAACTAAATAGCTTTTGCTTGTTGCTGTATTTTCTTCCTCAAACTGGTTGCATTGGTCTATTTGATATACAATACCAGACTGATTTAACTAGTTTAGATGGAATATGCAGATAGTTGGGGCAGTTTGGTACCTACTGGCGATAGAGCGTAAAGATACATGCTGGCGAAGTGTTTGTCAAGAAAGTGAAAAGTGCAACATAAATTTCTTGTACTGCGGCAACAAGCATATGCATGGTTTCCCAGAATGGCGAAGGGTGAGAAACAAAGAACTTGATAGTCAATGTTCTTTTGAAGCTAATGAGGCACCATTCGATTATGGGATCTACACACGAGCTATAACATCTGAGATTACTGCATCCAGTGTCTTTTTCCCTAAATTCTGTTTTTGTCTCTGGTGGGGTTTACAGAATCTAAGGTGTGCACTTTCTCTTCAATACACAACGCATATAACCACACATTTTCATTGTCTTATCTATTTTATGTTCGTAGCAAAACATTATCTATGTTAACAAGCTACCAAAATACTTGAATTTGGGTCGAGTATATTTACTTTTTGAAGTTTTTCCATGTATTTGAAGCATCCTTGAAGTGTCATATCTCGATACCATATTCGAACATACATGGGATATGTTTTTTTTTGACAAACATTCCAAAGTTTGCAAAGAATGAAACAAAGAAACTTCAGGCCTTGCCTAAATGGAGAATGATTTTTATACTAATCGTATTTGTGATTTTCCATTTCAACCGATATTCAGGCTATATATGAGGTTGGTTCTTGCAGGATAAAAGAAGTATTTCTGCTTGTGTGTCATCTTTTTTGATGTTTGAGTTTCGTATAATTTCTATTAGATTCTTTTATTCTACTCCTGGGTGTTGCATTCACTGATCAACGTTCTGCAGTACACTTGGTCAGGGACTTGAAACCAGCACATATTCAGGAGAGATTCTCTTTTCCATAACAATAGCTATCTTTGGGCTTATTCTCATGGCACTTTTGATTGGAAACATGCAGGTAAATTCAAAAACTTTGCCTAATCTTAATGCCCAAATATTTTTTGATGATCAAAGTGATGTATGTTAAGTCCTTGAATTTCCATTTTTCATGCTACCCTAAGTTTTTGGAAGTTATAAGCCTGGAAGTGCTCGAGCCTAGGATTAGGACCAAACCAGCACTTTGACAATATCAGCATGATTCTCAGAGCTGCCAGAAATGGCTGGAAGTTAACTTTCAAGTGATTATTACACGTTTATCTTTGGAGGAAGAGGAAAACAAACAAAATTAAACGTTAACCTATACAACAATTCTCTGAAATTTGAAGGCTTCTTGTGGTTGCAACAGACCTACCTTCAGTCTCTCACAGTTCGTCTTGAGGAAATGAGGATCAAAAGGCGAGACTCCGAGCAATGGATGCATCATCGTGCACTTCCTGAAGATCTCAAGGAGAGAGTTCGGCGCTATGACCAATACAAATGGATGGAGACTCGTGGAGTTGACGAAGAAAACTTAGTCCAGAGTTTACCAAAAGATCTGAGGAGGGACATTAAGCGACATCTCTGTTTGAATCTGGTCCGAAGGGTAAGGATATCTATACATTTTTTCTTGCTCTCCATACACCAACTGTTAGTCTTTTTGGGGCCAACATATGAATCATTAGAGAATTTCCGTGGTGACCTTAATATAAATTTCATGCATTACATGTCAAAAGTCTTGCATCGCTTACCATTCTTTGCCTGTTCAACATCTACTCGATCATGTATCTGTCTAGAGGGGGTGCCAAATTGTAGTCCCATTAGACTCTCCACCTTGTGAATTAACTTAATCTTTAAACTCTTGTTATGGTATGTAGGTTCCTCTGTTTGCCAATATGGATGAGAGATTGCTTGATGCAATCTGTGAGAGACTCAAACCAAGTTTATACACCGAAAACACTTACATAGTCCGTGAAGGGGATCCAGTAAACGAGATGCTTTTCGTTATACGTGGTCGCCTCGAAAGTGTGACGACAGATGGTGGGAGGAGCGGTTTTTACAACAGAGGTTTGCTGAAAGAGGGGGACTTTTGCGGTGAGGAGCTTTTGACTTGGGCGCTTGACCCAAAAGCTGCTTCCAACTTGCCATTATCTACTCGAACAGTCATGGCTTTAACCGAGGTGGAGGCCTTTGCTTTAGTAGCGGAAGAGCTGAAATTCGTTTCGAGTCAGTTCAGGGCGTCTCCATAGTAGGCAAGTTCAGCACACCTTCCGGTTCTACTCGCAGCAATGGCGGACTTGGGCTGCCTGCTTCATCCAAACCGCATTGCGCAAGCATGTGAAAAGGAAAGAAGCGGAACTTAGACGTAAGGAAGAGGAGGATCTAGACTATATTTATGATGAACAGCAGGCCTTAATTGATCAAACTGATAGCTCTGCAGAATACCACAGCCTTCGTGCAACTGTATTTGCATCACGGTTTGCAGCTAATCTTCGCGGCCAAAAGGGTAGAGGCTCGATTAGTTCAAAGAGCTTGCTCAAGGTTTCGAAGCCAAAAGATCCTGATTTCTCCGATCTTGACTCATAAAATCAAATGAGCTATTTCTGCCTCCATACTTGAACAAGTTCAAGCTGTTTTGGCATCTGTTACTACTGCAGAAACAAAATTCTGTACTTTAGTTAACTCTCGTTTAACTGTCTCATATATTTGCCTGCTAACTTTGTTTAAGAAACAGACACAAAAATGTCGATATTTGAATGTTAGATCTGCTGGATTTTACATGGTGAGAGCATGAATACAAGACCCAAGTCTTGGGTTCGAACAATGACATTAATGTTGCTTGAAAAATAGTTGTATACTATTGATCATATATATTCATAGTTGAGCATGAAACTTTTATTTTCTTTTACTCTGTTTCTAATACTAACCTTGAACAAGTTTAATATTACATAGGACTGATGTTTATCAAGAAGTCATATGAACAACCTTGAATTTCACTTTGAAATTCTAGTTGGCTTCCTTGTTCCTCTTGCAATCCAAGGACCTGCAGCAGTTCTTCCTTGGTCTAGACAAAACCAAATAATAGAAGTCATCGGAAAGAATGTAATACAAAGCGACCAAGAGTCGAGGTAAATACCTCTCCCAGAGTGAAACGCGTTGCACTCTCAGCTACACAAGCATAAGAACCATCTGCTGGCTTTAGCATCTCCATCACCTGCCAAGGTCCTGCACCGATTCTAACATAAAACAAGGAGATATGTAAATACAAGCTGTTGTTTCCCAAATCCGATTGCAACACAGAAGTTACTTTTTTCAGAAAGCAGTGGTCGGAGATTATAGATTTTGAGAGATGCAAATCTGCAAGCACCAAATTGCCATAGTTGATTTGTACAATTTTTTCAACCATTCTTCTATTTTCAATATATGAACAGTTAAACGGTAAATTTCAAGAAGGTTTATTTGCGCTCCAGGATATTGGCGAAATAGTGCTCCACGGTAATTCACAACAAAAGGTGCAACAGCTACAGTCTTACAACATTTGGAAAGAAAAATGTTCATTACAAGTGTGTCAGAAATTAAACTCAATGGAGCAAAACAATGTATTTAACTACCTTGGAGAACTCCCTGATTCGTATATAGAACACACGGATGAATCGAGAAAGAAACTGATAGTGCAAATCTTTGGGAGGAGATTCCAAAAGAGCCAAGTCAGCACTGCAAACATAAGCAGCCCTATTCAAAAGTAAATTCACTGATCATTAATGAATCCTCATTAAAAGGTGAAAAGTAGAAAAAGTTATACCGCAAAGAGTCAAGTTCGAGATTGAATACTAGTGTTGGGGTCGACAAAGCATATTTTCCTGCAAAATCAAAGCACGGTCACAAGAACAATGTGTTATTCCCCTAGGTTAAATTTTAACCATGTACCGACTCTCACAGTGCAAATCATACAAGTTATGTGCTGTTTGAAATAATCAGTGATTAAACATGATTATTCACGTATATATACTCATCAGATTGGCAGAACCAAGAAAGCAGAAGTGTGTAACTTCAAAAAGCCGCCATTCGAAGGTCAAGTACGTAACTAGATATAAGTGGAAAATAAATAGGGTCGTCAAAGGTGTGAAAGGCCGTACAAAAGTATAAGAATCATACCACATACTTCTCTATGACAGAAAGTTCACGTGTGCTACACTTAATAAATATATGAGGAGTTTGGTTCCTTGGATTCCCTACGACCTGCATTGCAGAATTGCAGAATGTTCAAAGTCTTGTAAGTAGAAACAGGGTAAGGGGATATCAAAATTTTAAGCTATGAAGCAACCCAGATCATTGATAGATGGAAAGGAAAATTCCTACACAAAACTCGATGCCCCGGAACAAACCTTCATTTTCATCTTCAAAATCAAAATCCGGAGTGTTCTTGATGGATTTGAAGAATGTGGTGACAGCACCACTAGGGACATCATCAAGGGAGCCTATAGATATACCATCAACCTGAAAGGAAGATTCAAGAACTAAAATCCCTCAACTCCAAAGGCAAACATGCATATGAATAAAGTATTATGAGCTTAAGGCATAAGATTAAAAGTGTACACCCCGTATATAAAAGCTATAACTGCATGAATAAACTGGTTATATCTTTAAATGTAAGGGCCAGACTTTATCGACCTTTCAACCATCTAAAACGTGTTAGAGTTTAACTCGAATTCAAAGTGACTCAAATTAATTAATATTTAAATTTGAAAAAGTAAGAATCCTATATTGATTAAAGTAGATAATTTTATTAAATAAATTTCTACTTTATTTAGTTTTCATTTGTAATCAAGTATCTATTCATATAAATAGATATTAAGTGTTAGAGTTAGAGATTATGTTGTCCATGATGACTCTTCTTATATTCTTCTTCTCTTGACATTAGTGAATTTTCTCCTATTTTGCCTGTGGTTTTTCCCGAAAGAATTTTCCACGTAAAATCAATGTCTATTTTATTAGGCGATCATTATGCATGTCATTATATTATAATAAATTGGTATATGAGCATACGAGTTGTTTGACTCGATCACAATAATAACATCTTTAAAGTATGAGAAGTCGTTGTTGGATCGTAACACCATATTCAAATTGTGAACAAAACAACTGTGGATATAACGGTTTTGAGATCAAAAAATCGTTTTATTCAGTGGGCACAATGGATTTGAAAAGAAAAAGAAAGTTCAGTTATGTCGACATAACAAATTCGAGAAGAAGAAAAAAATAGTTTCATGAATATAACAAGAAAGATAAAATTACAATTGGTGATCGGAATGAGGTTTTGCAAGATATTGTTTGTAGTGAACAAGTTGTGACCGAAGTTAGCACTTATGATTTTCTAACCGATGTGAAGATTAAATCTAAGTTTCGCAAGCTTTGGATTCAGTTGGCAATCATTGTTGAAGAATACTACTCTAACGAGTTTCGTGAAAGAAGTGAAGAATATGTTTTCAAGGTGAAGAAATTGTTCTTTGAAGTGAATAATTATTTTTTTGTGCCTCAACGAATTTGGGTATTTTGTCTCGAAGCCTACACACTTTTAGAATTCGCGTCAGATAGAGATTTGTTAAAATTTGACTACAATTCAAAGTGACACAAATTAATTAATATTTAAATTTAAAAAAGTAAAAATCATGGTTTGATTAAAAGTAATAATTTTATTGACGTAAGAGTTAGGGTTAGGGATCAAGTTGTTTATGATGACTACTTTTGTATTATTATTCTCTTGACATTATGAATTTTCTCCTCTTTTATTAGTGATTTTTCTCAAAATAATTTTTCACGTAAAATTTTGGTGTCTATTTTACTAGGAGATCATCGTGAATGTAATATTATAACAAAACGAAATGTTTATTGTGACCAAATGACCAATGAGTGCACTTCAGTGGTTGAAAACAACAAAACCCTTGCCATGGAAAGAGTCCACCTTGACAGAGTAGCAGAGAGAAATAGAAAGTAATCTAGAGTAATTCATTTCATTACCAAGTCAAGAGCTGCTTTGAAAAGCTCGGAGGCCCTGCGCTTTTCTGGCTTATCAGGAAACACCTGAACAAGTAAGAAATTACACTTATCTTTGAAACGAAAAGAACAATTTTTCAGTGAAGTGAAAGTATCTTCTTACTATGCCAGCTCGAGTTTCCATTTTGTGCTGGAGTTTACTGACAATGGCCAAGGCAAGTTGAGTGTTGGCATTAATGAAATCATCTGAAGATCCCTTCACATATTTAGACATCAGATCAAATTATGTACCATAACAGTTCTCCTTGAATATCCTCATCATTGTACAATATATCATGATTTATGAAAGCAAAGCACTACACCTTGAACAGAGGCAACAGTACCAGATTTAGGTCTCCAATTCCTATTACTAAACTCCATCAAGGGTCAATCAACTCATTTGAGAAGTGCAAGAATGAAGAAGGTACCTTATAAGAAGAAATGTTGCTCGGCAAAGGCCTGTAAAGGCAGAAAATTCATACACACACAAAAAAAGGTCCAAATATTAAAGGGAAAAGTATAATAGTATATAGACAATCATCTGAAATGCTTAACCAAAATTGATGAGCTGAAGAGGCATGCATGTGAATTATGGAAATGGGATAGCTTTCGATAACTAAATGGCAAACGGCTATTGCTTATGGTCAACTACTGCCTAGTGGTTAATGGCTATTGCTTATGAAGTATGAACACACCACCCCAAAGTCTTGTTACAGTGAACTTATTACGTAAGTCAGCAGAAATGGGATAGCTTTCGATAACTAAATGGCAAACGGGAATCGGGAAAAAGTATTTGTAAGACTCAAAATACGCAAACAAAAAAGAAACAAATCTTAAATGAAGAGAATGATAGAAAACGTAGAGGAAATCAATCTCGAGAAGGGTTTGGCTTTGGCCATCTTGAATAGCATAAGCGAGGGAGTTAGCGGCATCCGTTATGAGAACATCGTATGACTTAGGCTTGTAAAGCGCCACTCCTTTCTTGGGATAGAAGCTCTTCGTCGGTGCTGCTGCTGCGTGTGGTGTTGCACAATAAAATTTTAGGGTGGGCATCTTCATGAAATAAACAATTAATACAAAAAATTCGGATTTCAGGTGGGCACGTGCCCACCCTAGGATGTATATGCATCCGCCAGTGCTTGTTGTATTTGGATTGGAATAGTTGGTCTGTGAGGAAACGATGAGGAGAAGCAAGGTCAAGGGGAATGAGGCAATGGTGAGGTGGAAACGAAGAGACGGCCATTGCCATTGGAGCTGCTGAGCACAGCTGGTTTTGCTGAAATACTCCAACACAACATAAGATACGCAATGCAATACTTTTGTTTAAAATGGATGAGATTATATGATACCCAGCTTCACCCACGTGTATCTTTTCTGATCATTTTTTAGGGTAAATTCAGTATTTAGTCATCTAATTATTTAGACACTTTTATTTTGATCATCTAATTATTTTTTCTAAACCGTATTTAATATTTTGTTTTGATTTTAATTTTTTAAAGGTAAATTACAACATTCTTCACTGAATAATTTTCTCCCCCTCCTATTTTGCTCATTGTATTTTTAATTTTTCTAATTTACTCACTTGAACTTTTGAATTGCTCATGTTTAATTATTTTATTATTATAGTATGACATGGTATTTTATTATTATTTAATATAACATAATTTAAAATATAAAATAAAAACAGAAAATGATCGAACACCACCACCGACCGTCGTCGACCGTGTAGATGGAGGGCGTTCGATCCTAATTTTCATGGGTTGCTTCGCCTTGACACCATGAATTCGAATCCAACCTTCATTTTGTCAAAACTCGCTTTGAAGTCCATGAATTGGAGATTGAAAGTGAGAAATTAAAAACACTTTAGTCGAGATTTATGGGTTTGAGACATTTTCCGATGAAACAATCATCATATTCAGACTCAGGAGGTCGAGACTAACATATCCATGAAATTTGAGGCCGAACGACTACCATCTACGACAGTCAACGATGCCCGACGGTGGCTTTCGACCACCTTCTATTTTTATTTTTATTTTCGATTATTTTATATTAAATAATAAAAAAATACCAAGTCATACTGAAATAATAATAAAATAATTTGGAGTGATCAAAACAGGAGCAATTTGAAAGTTCGGTGAGTAAATTAGAAAAATTGAAAGTACAAAGAATAAAATAAGAGAGATTATAATTCAGTGAAGAATGATGTAATTTACCCTTTTTTACCAGTAACGTCATACTTGAAATCATAGTTAATTCTTTTAAAAAATATAATATTTATAAATTTCTTAAATTAATTTTAAATGAGAGTTTCGTAAAATAGAAAAAGTTGCCATACTTGCTACTACCACCAAGTCCAACTCTCTGCAAATATGGCAATACCCTCCCCCATTACACGCTTTCCCTCTCAAATCCCAGTTTTTGAAAATGCTAGCCGTTCATTTCTAATTCAATTCCCTAACACTTTCTCTTATATATTATTAGCTGTAACCTGTAATGATCTTCGATCGATCTATTTTCCAAGAACATAGATTTAGAAAATCTTTTTTGCTGCGTTCCAATAGATTCTTGAGCAATGAGTTCTGGTCGTTGTGCGGCTTGCCGATATTTGAGGAGAAAATGTACGGAAGATTGCATTCTCTCACCGTATTTTCCGTCAAATAATCCCCAAAGATTTGTGTCTGTTCATAGAATCTACGGTGCCAGTAATGTCTCCAAACTACTGCTGGTATCTACAGATATCTACTTTGAAATTCTAAGTTTTGGATTTATTGTTAGATTTAACACTCAATTTCCCCCCCTTTTTTTACATTTTTCTTTACAAGTTATAAAGCCCTTGGCATTTAGAAATGTTTTAGTAACGATTTTCAAGATAATACAAGATTCATCGTCAATTTAATATTTGTAATAATAACAAAAAGGGTGGCATTGCTTGATATATATTTATTGACATTGGTTTGGATGAAGATTTTGGATATCAAGTATCATAGGACAGTCAACTGGAGAGAGTTGTTGTATGCATAGAATTATTAGTTTTCGAAGGAATTACTTTACTCTTAACAATGAACGAGTGAAACACATTAACTTATTCTCCACTGGATAATCAGCGGCTCCCAATCCATGTGCGAGCTGAAGCAGCGGATTCCTTATACTTTGAGGCACAATGTCGGCTTGAAGACCCTGTCCATGGCTGTGTTGGCCTCGTATTTATGTTGCAGCAACAAATACAAGCTGCCGAGAGTCAGCTAGTTAAGACTCGAGTCCAGATTGCAGTTATGAAATCCCAGGCCCAACACCCTCAACCTCGTGAAGCCGAATCCAGTTTCAATAATCCATTTCTACGACACTTTGATAATGATGCGAACCTCAGTTTCTCCAACCAAATTTCTTCTGGGTTTATTTAGGATTCTGTGTGTTTGAATATGACGAATAACACAAACAAGCTTCAGTCATCATGCGGTAAAAGTGACTCGCAATGGTCAAATTGAAATGGTGGCATATTCCAAGCCTACAGTATTTTGTTTAGCTGAAAAAATATATATGTATATACATATATTATAGGCTTATACCATATGATACTTGTGTTTTTAAGGTTTATTGTAGGATATGATTCCATAATTCCTTAACCGTGCCGTGGATGAAAGAGTAATCAACCGAGTTTGTCATGGGATATAAGTGTTCACATCACATTTGCACTATATAAAGATAGAAGATAAACAGGAACTAAATGAAGAATAGGAAAAACAAAGGATCATAAAAAGATGAACATGTCTCTTACACAAGGGCTAGGGACTCTTGAAATATTTGCATGGCTTGTTTAACAGCCTCAACATCAATATCTATTAACTTTCCTGTCTTGGATGAGATAATGGCACATTTCTTCTCTTCTGCATCCGGTACAAACAGTTTCGCCATTTGCTCCGAGCAAAACAGACCAATGCTGCAGAGAATTTTTTATATAAAAAAAGTTTACAAGCCCTTTTGAGACTCATATATAGTAATTATGTTGTTAATGTAAAACGATTTTACATAAATCTAGAGATACTAACCTTGGTTTCTCTCGTGCATTTGCGAGTTGTATAGCCGCTGTGTTTGTTGCAATCACCCCAGCTGAATCGTTTATCAGAGCAGCTAGCTAAAGAAGATGAAGCATAGATAAATGGAGGCTTCCAGTGCCAGAATTGAATGGTTATGGAAATATGATTCTCTCAAGTATACGAAAATACCTGTCCTGGGGTAGTGATAAAAACAATATTAGCATCATCTACTTCTTCCTCCACATTCTCTCTTTCTTTCTCGTGTGGAATGACAAAAAGTGGCTTAAATTCCCTGTTTTCACAGTATAAGATAATCAAGTATATGTTAAAAAAACTCCTTGGTAATGAGTTTTAGTCAATATTTCGTATAAGTGCTGCAGTTATTCTCTCCGGCTTCAGTTTATCAGCTAGTCTACGTTATTTGTTGGATGTACCTCATGTCCGAATTCAGATATGTGTTGAACACGATTACTACGAAGAAAACAAACAGTCGGAGTAACAAGAACACTAGTTTTACAGTTACTGATACAGCATGAGTGGAGGTAACACCTTATATCCTTAGCTATTTCAGCCCATACTTGAATGGGGAGCAAGCTATCCGTATCGCCTCTAGACTGCATTGAAGCCTTGGAATCCGATTCTATTCCATGAATCACTATATATTTTCCTTTCACTACACCTGCATTCGTGTATTTTCCTGCTACAAACTCCTTCACCTTCCTCGAAATCGATACTCTTAGCGGCCCGACTTCATGCCTTGGAACACTTCGGAATGGTCTTCCCAACCAATCAGCCATCTGATGGTACCTAAAAAACCATACAACACCTCTTCAAATCGATTACTCTAAATAACAAAATAACGATCATAACATTCATTGCATTCCAACCCTAAATCATTCCTCCTTAAACAAAGTGTTTTTAGTTTACCAAAAGATCAACATGTATGAATTAGTCGGTTGTTGTAAATTGTAAAACTCACTCACATGTTATATCCAGCTTCGGAAAGATTCATACTATCTGGTGTAAAAGTTTGGGAAAGGAGTAATCCAGCTCCTGCTGCATTCACATTTGGATAAATGTAGCTCACTCTATCTCTAGCAGTGGTCATAAACAAGAACGCCGCATGGCCGAGACCTGCAAGTTTTGTCGACAAAACCATGTCATAGTACCTACCCTGCAACATCGATTTCACTGCCCGCATATCAATCTAAATGCGATTAGGTACATTAAAACATTGAAAACCATTGTAAAATACTCAAACTTCCATTCACTCAAATGCTTTGGAACTTGGAATTAATTAACATAAAAGAGCCAAATAACCTTAAGAAGGCCAAGCATGTCAGTGTATTCAGCAGGATCAGGCCAGTCATCGTCGGGATCATAAGCATTAGCCCATCTCACATTCTTGTTCAGTTCAAATGTCTGCTTTCCTCTCGCCGATGCCAATATATCCACTTGAACACCAGGGTATCTTATCCAAATAATTTAAAGATAAAAGATTGAAGTTTCATCATTCATACCAAAAAGTAAAAGCCTCAACATCTTGATTATCATTAATTCATTATCATTAGTATTATACCTGTCTTTGATCAACTGAATCACAGGGAAGAACAACAAGTTTTCATAGACACCACCAGAAATGACACAGCAGCATCTCCTGACGTCACCTCTGATTTTCAACGGCAATGAAGCCAACTCCACAGTGAACCCCATTGGGAATTTCAAGAACCCGTAAGGGTTGTCAGGGTTGTCAGGGGGTCTGGGGTCTTCTTCTTGCTTGCCATCGGTGAACAATGAACCATATTCGGAGTAGGGGTCCTCCACTTCATCTTCGAAAGGGTCCAGCCATGGGTTCTTTTTCTTAGCATGGGTTCGAACACTTGGTCTAGTTTTGGTGCATGGGGAGTGGTCTAGTGGCCTAAAACATGGTGTCTTGGTGGTTAAGTGGGCATAAGGAAGTGAAGATGGATTAGTAAGAAATGGATAAACAGCTTTGGGTACTACAGCAGTAGCCATTGATTTTTTTTATTAGTGATTCTCCCTTTAGTTCTGGTATATGGTTTTTCTAGTTGAAAAGCGAAGCCATTTGGGATATGAATGTGTGGAAGGAGCTTGGATAAGTGGGTCCCGACCAAAACATAGGCCTTTATTTTTCTTTTACTTATTGTGGGATAACCACAAAACAACACTGCGAGTTTGTAAGTAATTTCAGCCACACCCTTATGGGACTGAACCAACGACTAATCTAATTAATTAATGTTATAGGTTTATACTTTGAATCGTACTATCTATAGTTTTCTAGTGTTCTTAAATTACATTTTTTTAATAATATTTTTTTACATTTAAATGAGTATTTGTTAATAAACTTAACATTTAAAAACCCCCTTGTATTTGTTGGACTAAAAATTAATATATAGAAGATAAAACAACCTTTTGAAAGGGGAAAAAAACAAACCTTTTTCTGAAGCGGCAGCCTCTTATTGGTTGCTCCTTTGATTTGTTTCTGTTACCCGAAACTACCCCCGACCACCGAAAACCCAGTTCCATCGAAAGACCTTTTTCCTGGTTTTCTCATCTCATTTTCTCACACTTTCCCACCACCCAAATAACATCATTCTCGAAAACTGCGATTGATCCACTTGTAGTATTTTTCATTTACATAGTTTCTCTAATCACACCAATGCAGCAATAATTCCTGTCCTCCCGGCTTCATTCTCCACTCACATTTTCTCTCCTCAGCACCACAATTCCCGACCATTATTATTCACTCCATTACAAGTTCAATTACCGATTCGGAGCTTACTTTTTAGTTCGGAAAACTTCAAATTAGAAGCTTTTGCAGGGAAATTTTGGGAGGATAAAAAAATTGAGCCGTAAATGTCGGGACCACCGAGGGTAAGGTCGGCTAACATTGCGACGAAAATGGAAGCGAGGTCGGTTCTGGGGCCGGCCGGGAACAAGGTTCCGGTAGAACCGGAACCGAAATCGGTCAAGAAAAGGGAAAAATCAGTTCATCTATTCTCTGAGGGAAAAGACGGAGAGAAGGATAAAGAGCTGTTAGGTCTACAAAAGGAACCAATGCCGGCTCCTCAATCGTTGACTTTGACTGCATCGATTTTGAGGCAGCAGGAAAGGAAGGTGGAAAATTTGTCGATGAGTTTGTCGTGTTTGTCGGACGGAGGAGCATCATCTTCATCGGCAGGGTCGTCGTCCAGTGGGAAGACTGGCAGAGGAGGCCGACGGGGAGTTGGAGTTGGAGTGAGGAGGAAGCAAAGTGAGCCGAAAGGGGAGGGTGGGGTTATGGTGGTGGATTCAGGGGAAGACGGTTGCTTGGAGAACAAGAAAAGGTGTGGGTGGGTCACACCCAATCCGGGTACGTTTTTACATGTTTTCGGGTGTTTTACAAGTTGAGATTATTGGTGTTATTCTATATCTTTTGGAGGAAGCAAAGTGAGCCGAAAGGGGAGGGTGGGGTTATGGTGGTGGATTCAGGGGAAGACGGTTGCTTGGAGAACAAGAAAAGGTGTGGGTGGGTCACACCCAATCCGGGTACGTTTTTACATGTTTTCGGGTGTTCTTTGAGATTATTGGTGTTATTCTTATATCTTTTGTGCTTTGGATTTTGGAATTAATCTTATATTAAGATAGGTGAATCAAATTTGGACTTGTTGACAAACCTTGAGGCAATCTGCTGAAACTTTATTTCTTTAAGTTGGTTTGAGTTTAAAATTTAAATATAGGAAGGGAGAAACAACTTAACGCAAGTTACACTACCAGCCGAGTCTTCTTTTGAGTTGTATTTTGATGCAGTGTTTCTCTATATACCTATACACAATCAGTGAATCAGATTATGATACTTCATTAAAAGTTTTAAAGATAAATGTAAACAACTTTGTTTCTAAATAAGATGGCATCATCTGGTTTGTTGAAGATATATACTTGGTTAATGCATAGGTAGGTAGGTAACAAGTAACAGTTTTTTTTATCATTTATAGTAATTGTTGAAAAAGGATTGCTTATTGGTTAGTAAACAAGTTTGGTATCGATTCGATGCTGCTTTTGGCACTTATTTTAGAGGGTATTCAAATATGAACAAAATTTCTGCCGTTGGAGAAGATTTTTACTTGAGTAATTATGAAGCTACATAATAAAGCTGTTCTCCTTTCTGTTGTGAATGCAAGCAAATTTTACTGGATCGCTTTCTATTAACTTAAAAGGTGTAGCTTTTTATTCCCTTAGGTTAGAAATGTAATTTGCTCTTGTTCTTAACTCTTACTCTTAATCTCTTACAGTATCTGCATTTAATATTTACCGATGCATGTGCTGGAAATAAATGGTTGGTAATATGTGAAGAGCTGTATACTAGATTTATGGTACATTTTTTACAATAAAGAGGGAAGAAATATTAATTTCTTTAGTCATTTTGTGGCTGCTTGCTTTCCCTATACACTATGTTCTTTCACATCTTGAAGTTTGCAATAGGCGATAGCTACTTTTTATCTCAGCCTAACTTTTCATTCATCTGGATAGCAGTGTTTTAGCATGGTTGATAAAGAAGTTAATAGATATTTAGAATCAGTGAAATCTGTTTCTACTTGTGTGCTGGCTGATTTACCCAACTATAAGTTTGGCCATCCTGATATCTAGATTATTGATCCGGGACCATTTCATACTTTGAGCCAATTTAATCAGAGAACAAGAGATGTTCATATGGAAGGGTTTATTGGGTTGAAATTAAGTGGAAAACTTGAGAAAGATAGACCAAAGTTATCAATTATCTTGGCAATTTCAGATTTATTTTATCTTGAATACAAGTTCTTTGATTTTTCTTCATAAAGGAAAAGGGGCCCTAAGGTGGCGGGGATATATAATGTGTATGGATCCAGTGGATAGGAAGGCTTATCTTCAGATTTAAGTGACAAAAAGGGCAAAATGTTAAGCACAATTACTAAGTGTTTCACGTGTAAAATATATTAGCTGTTTTTTGTATCCAGTGATAGGGTAAAATAGAGAAAAGAATTTCTGTAGCTAATTTTACATGGGCTGATTTCAATTATGTCGAGTTGCATTCATTTTTACAATTTCTGTCTACTTAATATGTTCTCCCCTTTCATTATTTTGTTTTGTTGTCCTAAGTCCTTACTTCGGTTATAGTTCTCTCCTTTGCAGTTCTTAAGGCTTTTGGGACTTGCTTTTCCCAGGAAAAGCCTATACTATAAGGCTTCTACTGATGTTCATGTTCCTCTCACTTTTCTTTTAGTGTGTTTTTCAAGTCACTTTTACCATCTTATAAACATTTGCAAGTACTAACTGCTTTTTACTCTTTGAAAGATCTTTGTTATGTTGCATTCCACGATGAAGAATGGGGAGTTCCAGTTCATGATGACAAGTATGGAATTTGGTTGCACGTGTCATCTGGTGTTACTTTCCCCCCTAATTCATGCATGGAATTCCAGATGTTAACTTAGCCTGGTTATTTTGTAAATGCAGGAAATTGTTTGAATTGCTTAGCTTATCAGGTGCTTTGGCTGAACTGACATGGCCTACCATCCTTGGCAAAAGACATATTTTTAGGTATAGGTGATATTCTATGAACAGTTGTGTTTGAAAGTTTTTCAACTGTGAATTCTGTAGCCTTGTCATATTACTTCTTTTATCGGTGGGTTTTCATTTGTGACGCTGATGTTGACTTTATTCGTATGCAGGGAAACCTTTCTGGAGTTTGATCCAAGGGCTGTTTCAAAACTGAGTGAGAAAAAGATAAGCGGCCCTGGAAGCCCTCCCAGTTCTCTGCTATCAGAACCCAAGATTCGAGGCATCATTGAAAATGCACGTCAAATATGCAAGGCATGGACTTATTCTCATTAATCATTACTGATTTGTTAATCTCTACTTGCATATTAAGGAAGTAATATGCAAACTACTAAAGTGCTCTTTGAATCACTAGTGTTTAGCAAAGAAAGCCCTAGCTATCATATATTATGGTGAAAAGAAAAACCATAGCTCTGACTCGTATATAACGCAATAAGTTTAAAATGATTCACAGTTTATTTCTGTTATACGCAGGTAATAGATGAGTTTGGGTCATTTGACAAGTACATTTGGAGCTTCGTGAACCACAAGCCAATAGTTGGTCAATTCCGGTACCCTCGCCAGGTTCCAGTCAAGAGTTCAAAAGCAGAGGCGGTAAGCAAATAATGACCATCTTATGAGTTGCTTTAGGTTTCAGGAATGCATAACAGGGGTGGAATCAAGGGGAAAAGTCAGTAACAGTGATGAAGTAATTGACGAAACTATTAAACTTGAGGAGACAATTGCCTTGGGATAACTTGGAAGCGAATGATTGAAGTTCTGGTTGAGAGTTTGCATGTTTTGTTATATTGATCGAGAGTTTTCACACTATTTGGAAATGGTGGATGATGATTGCCGTTGTGTACAAAATGTTTGCTCGTGTAGAATCGGGGAGAAAGATGTGGCTTTTTTATAAATGTCAATGGAAATAGTACAAGGTGATAAATGTTTATTTTAAGAAACTTTTTCAAGCAAACACAAAATGCGACAATTTGTTTGAAGAATACTTGTATGAATTACAATGTCATCATCAGGTGAGGCGGCCGAGAAAATTTTGGCAATGGAATCCGGAGTGGGACAAGGTATACGAAACGTGTTTTAGAATATGGACTCACGGTTAATGCTAATGCTCCTGCTTTTTTAAATTGCGTGAATAACTTTTTTTCTCTCTATTTATGTTATATATTTTAGGGTAAACTACACAAATGGTCATCTGACTATAAGATATTACTTTATCGATTCCTTTGACTACTAAATGTTACAAAATGAGGGGAGTTGTTTTGTTAAGTCCATCGACTATTAAAAGTTATAAAATGGTCACTTGACTATTCATTATATTCTAAACTCATATTTTTTCATTAAAAACTTAACAGTAGTTTAAGCTAGATGTTAATATGTTGATTAAGACATAATAGTCATTTGAGATTATGAGATCATTTTTTATCATATATTAGTCATAGGTTAACATCCAACTCATAATGAAATCAAAATTTTAACAAAAAATGACGAGTTTGGAACATAATGAATAGTAAAGTAACCATTTTGTAACTTTTAATAGTTGATGGACTCATTAAAGCAACTCCTTATAGTTTAGGGATTATTTTGTAACATTTAATAGTCAATGGACTCAATAAAGTATTATCTTATAGTCGGGAGACCATTTGTGTACTTTACCCTATATTTTAATACCTATAGTTGATAGATTTCAAATTAACGCTCATGTTATTTTTTTTATTAATATTTTCTGTATTTTATTTGATTGGTTAGCTGAGGTAATTTTAGTCACCAGCAAGCCGGCTTTCATGGCTTTTTTGACCAAAAAAATCACCGTATAAATAGAATATTATCGGTCAGTCATAGTTTCCCAAATATTATTCGATCTAACACCTGAGAGAATGAGGCATGTTCAATGAAATGCGCTTTAAGAGGAATGTGCGGTTGGTAGGAATTGCCTTAACTGAAAATCGTTGACATTCGATAAAATCGCCGATACCCCAAGAAGGCGCAGCCCATGGGGCAAGCCTTCCTTTTTCCGCCCCGATTTCCCGTCAAATTCTCCTGCATATTTCTCCAACCGGCTGCCTATATAACCTCATTCCCCAACTCACATAAATCACACCTAAATATCTCTCATTCCTATCTATTTTCAATCTAGTAAGGTATAATTTTTTTATAATTTATTTCTTTATTCATTAAAGTTTTTATTATTTAAAAGTAATTAATTATTTTATTATTATTTTGTTTTACTATTTATTATTTTATTGTTTGATTATAAATTTATCTAGTTAATATTTATTAATTGTAGTTAAAAATGGAATGGGCATTGTTGCGATTAGATGTTGATCATATTTCAAGTTATTTTGCTGATACGATAAGAACACAAAACTATATTCTCTTTAAATTTATGAATATTATGAAATTGATTATATATTATTTGAATTATTAGAATTTATTTTATTTGAATTTATTTAAATAATTTTGAAATAGTAATTCAAATTTTAATAGTTATAATTTATTTGTTAGGAAAATGATTGTATATTAGAAGTTTTTATTCGCAACAAGAAGATAGAAACATCGAGGCGTATCTGGCCATATTTGTCAATGGTTGGATTCGATTACTTAGCAAAAATTGAAAGAGGTTGTAAACTTGAACTCGTCCTGATTTATGCACTAATTGAGATATGGAGGCCATAGACACATGTTCCATCTACCATGTGGGGAGTGTATCATTACGCTAAAGGATGTTTCAATGTAATTGGGGCTCCCGATCGATGGAACTACCATGTGGGGAGTGTACCATTACGCTAAAGGATGTTTCAATGCAACTGGGGCTCCCGATCGATGGAACTACCATTTGTGGTGTGGCCGATGATGGGGGGTTATGCAGGGAGTATCTTGGAAGTTGCATGGTTTTAGATGGCTATATTGAATGGTTCAAGGGGTGGTAATTCATCGTCGCCAAGAAAAATGTCCGACGTCACAACAACATCGTCCCCCCACTACTGGACGAAGAGCAGGTGCTTCCAGATGGTCCTAAACTATACCACCGGAACTATCACACTAGCAACTAACGACATCGGTTTATATCCCTAACCCTTCAAAGAACATGAGGACACCACTGCAGTGGGTTCATATGCCACATTCGCAAGTCCATATGCCATATCATTCGGTTCAGATGCCACCACCGTTTGGTTACGCATAGAGCCCACAGGGTTTTATGAAACCCACTTGCATATATTTTTTTATTATGCTCACGGATTCAACATTTAGTTCATACGAATGTTATGTTACAGGTGGTCCTCCACCACAAACACATCAACCGCAATATGCGTCACAAACATCAATGTCGGTTTTTCACAATATTCGCAGTTCTCAGCGAGTGGTGGGATCGTCAGTCATACACCTCTAGGGTCATTATTCTACAAAGGTCGTATATCGACATTCAACCCTGATAACTCCGTAAAAAAGGTCACATTTTGGGACCTTTTCATTTAAGTTATTAAATGTCTAAGAGTCCATTTAGGAGAATATAATTGCATGTGGTAAAATTCTATTTGCCGCGGTATTTTATTTTGAAATCGGTGATGCTTTATGGGAAAGGTGTTTGTTCTGTGATGTGCAGGAATTGAGAGCAAGGAAAAGAGAAAAGGAAATGCCGTGACATAAGGAGATTGCTGAGCAAAATGAAAATGCCGAGTTGGATTGGCATTTCGAGAACGAACAATGTGAAAGAATATATTTTGAAGCCAACTGTCACCACTTTCACGTGATTTCTGACCGGGGGCGAGAAATCTGCCTCGAGGATCCGCCTGGGGGGATCAGCGCTGCTACAACTGATCCTGCTGACCGCGCCACCTTGCTACAGATCCTATCTGTCATTGAGCTTCTGAAGCAGAATTATATCGGGTACTCAGGCTGGATCAATGCCAGCTCAGCCCAATCCTTATGTGATTTAAGCATGGTTTGGGGTATCCTAGGATTCAACACCATGTCCTAGGGTTAATCTTCCCCTATAAATAGATGATGAAGCCATAATGAAAAAGACTTTAGTTCCACACCGTTTTGAGCTTAAAAGTCAAAGGGAAAAAGTTTCACCTTTCTCCGTCAATCCTATTTGCCATGGTATTTCTCCGTGACAAGCTTGAGGGAGTGACGTTCTAGGCATCCGACAGTACACGTCGAAGGCTTTCTCTCATTCCCTTAGTTCTTTACTTCCATATTTTGTTATTTGGGTTGTAAGGAACGGATAAAACTTGCTTTGTGCTTGTTTATTTCGAACCCCACCATGAACTAATCCTATTTAGTGGGAGTTCATTTGGATATTTAAGTTTTATTTCAATGAATGGTTATTTTTCTATGCTATAATATGTTTTGTTTATGAAACTTAGTGCCTTAAGGTTGTAGGAGCTACAAGAGTAGCTATTCCTTAGGAGATTCTTTGGGTTCGAGAGAATACCGAGATAATACATCCTTAGTGTTCGAAAGAAACTAGAGAGGAGCTATATAAATAAGGGGTTCTAGGTAGTAACTAGACCTAATCCACCTTAGAGATAAGGCTAGGATTTCATTCGACTAAAAGGAGTTGTGCATGAACGATAGGTTAGATGTTAATGTTGCTGCAGAAAGGTATTGTCGAGACATATCCTGTTATCTGGACCAATAGGATCACTGTAGGGGTTTACGCCAAACGGTTTTGCCAGGGCATCTTCAATCTGTCGAGTCCCATACTAGAGATAGCATAGGGCACCTGAGTATACTTTATCGGGGAGAAGAGGCATAGAAATAAGATCATTTCGAGAAGTAAACTTAAGTTTTCCAGAGTGACTCCCATCACTCATTCCCATAATAGCTTTTCGTGTGAGAAATACGAAGTCCTATAAATTAAATCATTTATTTACATTTTATTTTGCCTTGACATTTCCAATTGTTTGCACTCAACACAATTAAATTTGCCACGACATATCCATTTTCTACCATACTACCACCATTTCATTTCCACACCATCCATTTCATTTTGCCACAACATTCTCATTTGTACATACCATCACTAACTTTACTTAGGTGACAAAGTAAAGTGCCTTGACAAACTTATTTGATTTCCTCCAATCCTTGTGGAGACGATACTCACTTATCACTGTATTGCTTGTTCGATTGTGTATACTTGCACATATATCCACACTCATTTATAGTACTCACAAACAACGGACAAGCCCTTATCGAGACAATGTTGTTAGGAGTGATGATGACGATGAGGATGACAAGGAGTAGCATATAAGAAGAAACCCTCCTAGAAGTATACGACCACTACCCTGTAGAACACATTCCAGGAGACATCGATGAATCTAAAAACAATGACAATATTTTTTATTTATTGTGTTTTATTATGTATTTGCCTCTTATTTTTGTTTTTTTATTATGTATTTATATGAAGCAAGATTTTTCCTCTAAATTGGTTTTTGCCTCTTATTTTGTTTCGTTATTATGTATTTATGCAAAGTAAGTTTATGTATGATGTTTAATGTCTTTTTGTGAACAAGGAAAAATAAGACATAATAATTTGGGTAGGCTCGTTTTGTAGGACCGTTTCCTGAGGCATATATATATGTGTGTGAGGTGAAAATTAATTTATTGTT